GTCTTAAATTCTCCACCAAGATTGATGGATATGCTCTTCAATTTCACGTCATTAAAACATTTCATCTTTCCATTTATGTGGGACCATCAGTGCGTAGTGCCTGTACTCATCGATGTATAATGGACCCCGTATGTGTATCCGTCAACATCGGCCCACCAACTGACGAGAAGCTTATCTGCGAGCTTAGCGATTCAGACCATACGAAACACCCTGAAGATCTTAAAAAGCGGGAAGGCTTTCTGTACATAGGCACTGAGGTGATAAAATTACTCTGAGCAGAAGATATATTTTCGGTACTTTTAATTTTGACCTTAGATACTTAAGCAAATTTTAGACATTCAAATGTGGAAACGCCTTTGAACAAAAAATAAATGAAACTGAAGAGGCGTATTTTCTTGTTATCAGAACCCGTGCTTCAGTAACCCATGTCTTCATGATTCAATTTGCCTGAACGGATATACGGACAAACAGTATCTCTGTGAATGTCAAGCTGGTTACACGGGGGAACAATGCGAAAAAGGTGAGGCTAACAGAGCTTATGAGTAACATTCTTGGGCAAGCAAAATCTTTTAAAACTGTACCGTTTGATAAGGATACGTTCTGTGACCTCTTTGCAAGACATGTACTAACCCGAATGTTAAAAACTGAAAGTTGGGAATTTAGTTACGGCCGGTTTCTGTGGAAGCAATCTGGACGGATCTGCATGAACAAAAATTTCGCTCATTTCCTAGAACTTCTGCATTGGATTTAATTGATACCTGAAGCTGGGCCAAAATTTTAACTGTCAGCCGAGAAATTTCCCGTTTTTAACTGATCACTTGAGTTTTGCACTGCACAACGTACTGCTGGAAACAATACAGCGTTTCTGCCTGAGGGTTCGGCTATGGACTGACAGTCGCCCACGGAAAATGCATGTTCAGACGTAATTGAAAAATAAAAAGCAAGTTGTAGACGTGGAGCGGTTTCACTCCATCACTCCGCAACTTCTGGTCAGAAATTTCGATCCGGGGATAGAACTCCCATATGAAGAAGTCAGGGGTGCTCGTTGGAAAATTTGAATGAAACCTCCAGAAGAGATCAATCTGAGCACACACGTAACTCGAGCTTTATTTGATTCCTTGAAAGATACAACTTGAAACGGAAAATACAGGTTTGATTACCAGCAGCTGTTCAGAAAAGGAGCCCGCGCTAGTAGACCGGATTCGAGAGACCTTCGAAAATCGAGCCTAAAAACGAAGATACTTTGACAGCTAAAAATCGTTGCGTTTCTTTCTGAACACCCTAAGTGACACCAAAATCTTTCATTTTTACCGCTAAGTGAAATTGCAAGTATCCCTGACTTTTTTCGTAAGGCACTGAGAACGCAGAAAGAGATGTACCCTAGTTAGCCTTTTTAGACACAGGTATACTTCAAAAAGTAAAACACAATACACGTGAAAAGTCCTGTTGGCTCGTGTAGTCTGTATTCATACTTTACTAGCTACTAAAACAATTAAAGCTTGATTATGATACTGACTTGTTAATTGAATGGTTAACAATCACTTATTGCAGAAGCAGCAATGACCATTGGGCTAGCATATCAGAACTACACTACAAACTGAAGAGGATGTCAAAACATAGCTTAGAAGAGGGCACAGAGGAGGAGATGATAGAGAAAACAGGGGTCATGTTTGCCGCTATTATCTTGTTTCTACAGACAGTCTGGGAATACTGCCGTGTTGTCAATAGACTTGACTTAGTGTGTAAGTACAGATTGATCAGCCAGTAATTTTCTGCAAGTACTGAAAATTTAGTTATGTAACTTTATGTCACAGATTATAAATGCTTAAGTTCTGACTGAAATTTGAACAAAAAGTTCCTCTGAGACTGGTATACATAAGAGGATTTCACAACACATTGACCAGCAGGAGTGTATACTCACTGTGTAAATTGTTTTTCTCCAGCAGCTTCCTCTGGTTTAGTATTTCCGTTAGTTCTCATAGAGGACAGTGTGAATGAAAATCATCAAAGCAGTGCATCAAGCAACTCAGCTGGAGGAGGTAGCAATAGGTAGGGATACAGAGGCTGCAACAATCACATGACTGTCTTAATACATAACACATATGCCACAAATATACCATAAATGTTTTTACTTCTCCCTGCTTAATGCCAGTGGTAAGGAAAGAATGGCCTCAAAACAGTTCTCTGTTTTCCAGTATCAAATAAATTTCACAGCATGTGACTGTAAATTTGTTTTTTAATTGTCCTGGACATCAACAAACAAATTAACAGATACATTTAGTCTGAGAATTCAAAGAGAACTGCCATACTGGAAACACTAACTGCCTGTCTGAAAATTACAAAAATAAAGGTGTGATTTACTGTCTGAATGTTTTTCTTTTCATTTTTCTTTTCTTACCATTTGTAGTCCAGCACCAAAGAAGAAAAAAAGGAAACTGGCATCTGTAAGTATGATAATATTTTCTTGAATGCTTGTAATTTTGTCTTATGTAGTGATGATCAGTGTATGACTAATATAGTCTTTTAAAACACAGGACTGGGTCTCAGGGTGAAAGCTGTGTTTGTTTTTTATAATGCCAAATAAATGCACCTTTTGTAATCATTAATCATTGAATTAATGTCTCATTATTTTAACTTTTTTTGTGTAGTTTACTAGTTAACTGTTTTATAATGGCCTGGCTATTTTCAGAATACCATTAATTTGTTACAAAGTTGTCAGAAGAGACATGAGTCAATCCTAACAGCAACCAACATAATTATAATTTCCCTTCAATGTATCAAACAATAGACAAAATTGACCATGTAGGTTATGAAAACAGAAGAAATGAATCCCTGAAGGGAAATTATTTTGAAGTGAGCTGAGACATTGCAGTGCGCGGGACTACAAACCAAGCTGTACTGGTTCAAGCCCTGGCCAGGGTCACTGTGTAGTGTTCTTGGGCAAGACACTTTGCTCTTACAATACTTCTCTTCACCCAAGGGTATAAATGGATAAGTAATATATCAAACATGAAAGATCATTTTTGACCACATTTCCAAACACCGAGAAGAGGGTTGAATAAACAACACATAGCAGGATATTTTTGATGAACTTCAAGTTGTTTGGAAATGTAGCCAAACACTTTCTTGAGTGTTTGATATATCTTCTGGATCAAAACTAAAGCTAAGGAGAGAATTGAAAAATGTAATCATAAAAATCTAATATGCTAATTTAAATCAGATGTCCCAACACCACAGTTACGGTCATGATCTTCTTTGTGATGACGAGTTTGAGAACAGCTGATCCAACATGGCAGAATGCAGGGGGTAACTAGACTGCGAGCAGTCTCTCTTTTGCCTGAAAATCTGTGGGGAAGAAGGCAGAGAAGAATGCAACACAAGAGAGTGGTCATGAGTGTTCAAGCTTGAAATTAGGCTCAATTACCAGCTGAACTCTTGGGGAGGAATGTAGACCGGACTCGAGAAAGCGGCAGAAATTGAGCCTAGCTTGAATTGCGAAGCTGCAAACCGCAACTAGTGTTACTCATGGTCTGCAGCATCACTGTGCTCCAGTCGTATGTCACGCTCTTCATCATGCTTGCACGTTCTTTTGTTATGCGTTCTTCTCCAGGGATGTTTTAGTAAAAGAGAGACTGCTCACAATCTAGGGAGTAACCTGTGATGGACTAGCATGCCATCCAGGGGGGACTAACTTCTTCATGCCATCAGTTACTGCTTACTTTATAGACATTTATAGAAACTTTGTCTTTTAGCCATCAGACCTCAAATGAATGCCTCCTTCCATCTTTGCAGGGTAGGCCTGGCTCTCCTGGGAAAGATGATAGTAAGAACAAGCAACCTGCAAACATTATAATAGACAAAAGTGAGTTATGATGCATAAATTATGTAATGAAGCAAAAGTTCTCTGGGTGGTGAGGTAATGGTGGACATATCCAGTAGAAGATTCCAGAGATCACAGGTTTGAACCTGGTAAGGTCTGTTGTGTCCTGTTCTGGAAAGTTCTTACCAGGCCCCTCTCTGCCCATGATCATAGGAGGGGACTGGAGAGAGGATGTGTGCTCTTGTAGATGGGTAGTCACCTGACTTCATCACTTTACCAAAACTTCTTAAAACGTTATTGAAAGCAGCAACATTGAACACTGGAGCCAAGCAGGAGGTTTGAAGGAAATTTAGATTTGAAGGGATGGAAATTTCTTTATAAGTAAGATTCAGTTGAATAGCTTTCACATTACATTGTAGTTACCATTATAATAATATCTCTTTTTCTGGATTCTCGAGTAGATTGTGGTTCAGTCAGTCAAAACCTTTCAGATGACTTCACTGTTTCTGTGGAGGCGTGGCATCTTCTAAACACACACACCGACTATAAAAACGGTACGCTTTGACAAAATTTCTTTAAGTGGTTATGTTAGCTAACATCGTTGCAATATAGAGAGAGACAGAACTGATTTCTGACCCTAGACGATGGGTGTAGCTCCAACAAAACAAGCAAAGTGAAGACTGGGACATCATTTATATAATTATAGCAAATGATTCGGGACGGATTCTGTGTCGGAGAGGGTTTATGTCCTAGAGGAACCTCCATATGGAAGAGGCAGGGAGCGCATAAACATTATTACCATGAACTCTGGTTGCACGAGTTTCTTACGTAACTAAATTAGAGAGCTCCCCAAGCTACATTACTTTCAATAGTCAATCAAAAGTTTTTTAAACTTTTTTGTGTTGTTAGATTTTACACGTCTGTTAGATGAGTGGGAAGTTGATCAGTGGAACTGGATGGGAACCTTTGAAGTGGACAGACTTATTTATAAGGTAGTACCATTACAACCCCACTCATTGCCTAACATTCGCTCGCCGCCTACCTTGCACTTCAGTTTGAAAGTAATTTTGCTCGTCAGAAAAACTAAAAAAACGAGAGCTGACATCATCTGCCTCTCAAATAGCATCTTCCAGGCGTTCAGTTAGTTGGCGCAAAGCGCGAAAAAATGGCGGAGCGGAAAAAGGAAAGAGAGGCTTAATGCGCCATTTTTCGCGCTGCACTAACTGAAAGCTCAACTGTTTCCTGACTGTAGCGATGACGGTGAAGCTAGGTAGAGTGTAGATTCCGCAACAGATGCTACCTCTCAAAGCGAAAGCTTTCGTCGACTCTCAAAAAGAAATCTTTTATACAAAGGTCCATAAAAATGGAACATGAGAGCAAAACTTGTCAACTTTCATTTTCTGTTGATTCCAACTTTAACACGTCATGCTGCTTTTGCTCAAGATCAGTTGAACTAAACGTCAACAACTTTTTCACCTCTTTATTGGGTTCCTCATTGCTTGGCCAATCAAAAGCAAATACGTTTGGAGACGGACATTTTTTTTTGGCCGCTTTTAACAAAATAAACTACCCCATACTTGCATTGGGTAGTTATTTATCAAGCAGAAACCGTTATTCATCCTTTGTACAACCGCAACCGTACGCCACAAGGTGACAACTATGTTACAATTATGGAAATGATTATTTGCTCTAAATTGCTTTTCATAGAAGTATTCTTTGTTTTTTTGGTGAGGGGGGGGGGGGGGGGGGGGGGGTT